CACTTTTTTTTTTTTTTTTTTTTTATTTTTTTTTTAAAAAAAAAAAAAGGCCTTTTTTTTTTTTTTTTTTTTTTTTTTTTTGCTATTTGGCAGCACCATTTTGGAAATGTGTTTTATTTGCTCCCATAATATCTTTTTTGAAACAATGATATTTCCTGGGAAAATAACCATGCAGCTTTTGGTGAGGTGAATGGTCTAGGCTATTGAAGTACAAAAAGGGGAGATAGTAAACATATGGAATATGTTACCAAGGAAAGCAATCGAAGCAGACTGCAGAAAAGAGCACATGAGACAACCACTTCTCTTGGTGGGAGAGAAAAAAAAGGCTTGCTCAAAAAATATGCAAACAAACAAAAAGTGAGATTGTACTAGTTTAAAAGTCCAGGTTGGCATGTTGAGCCAGGCAGCCATTTCTTCACAAAGATCTCTCATGTGTGTATTAGGTAGTTCTCATATGGCAGGGCTGAGATGGAATTTTGCAAATAGCAGTGCTGCTTTGCAGCAGGGTGCATGTTTACATTATGTAAAAACAACTCACGAAACATTCTGCAAAGCAATGTCTTTATGCTTTGAATCTGATTTTTAACAAATTGGCACCAGTATTAGACAGATAATTGACAGAGGAATGAAGTGATATGAAGCACTCGGTCAACTGTCTCAAAAAGAGTTGTGTGGAATCCAAAGAAGGTACAGAAACCATATTTTCATGTCTTCATTGGTCACGTAAGTACAAGCATCCCAGTGAAGGAGTAAAACAGCTATAGATATGTATCCTCTGCACTTTAAGAATGACAGGGATATCTCTGTCTGCAGGGGAAACTTAAGGAGACAAAAAGTAACAATCTGTTAAAAATGCGATGAAATCACCCCAGCTAAAATTCCTTCCATACCAAGCAAATGCCAGAAACTCTTTAATAACCCTGAGGTCATGCAGTCTGAGTCTCAGATTTACAGTGTTTCTGAGACGCAGTGTGTTGTGGAGCAGCTTGCACATCAGTGCAGAGGGCTGTAGTCAAGAAGAGGCTGGGGATGAAGATGTCACCTGCAGAAGCACCAGCCCCACCTCCTGTCACATTTAAACACTTCTAGAAAATTCATACTCCTGCAGTATGGACATGAACTGTTTGGCTGACAGGATCTGAGAAACTTCCAGCCCCAAGTGCCATCAGGAAGTATTTATCTTTTGTGAGAACTCTAGGTGATACTCATTGGATAGTGGACATTTTGAAGGGGTTTTTCAGTAAACTTTGCCAACAGTTTAAACAATCCACCAGTAGAATGTAGAAATTCTGTAGCACACTGGAAAGGTTCAGCATGTATTGTTCCCAATTCATTTTGAATATGGAGTCCTTTACCTCTCCCATTGACTCTTAAGTTGGGCTTAAGCAATAGTAGGTCCATCTCTCTAAAGGAATAGCACGAAACCAACCAACAGAGGATTGTTAGATGGAGACCAGTACTACACCCAGAACCAACATCCTTGACACAAGCTGATTTGAGATTATATGAGATAACCTGCTGAGATTCTGTGACAACATGACAGAGAATCAGTCTGAGAGTCCAGAGGGTCTAAGACATTTTCTCCCTGCTTCAGGAGCTCAGTGATGTAGGAGCAAAGTGATACTGAATCTGCTTCTTCTAGCTCAAATTATTCCTCCTCAAAGGGTCAGGGCAGGTAAGCCTGAGTAGGGGTCACTATGCTTAGGACATTTGTTTTCCTAGTGATGGCTAATCACTTTATCCTTCAACAAAATGCAAGACAAATCACAGTAAGACCTTTTCATACTCATGTGCTGAGCCATTAACCAAGAGTCTTGCACGTTCTCTGAGGTCCTAGGAAAATAAAGGTAAACTAGACTGGGAGTCTGAAGAGACTGAACTTAGGAAAAAGCTTCCATGATGCAGTCCTCTTCCTGAAATGAGGTACTAAACTGCAGGTTTGAATCTAAAGAGACTGGTTTAGGTCACATCACCTGTGCTCGGTTCAGGCACTCAGAAACTTCGTGAGTCCCCTGAAGCAGTATGGTAAATGGCCAACAGATGGCATTTGGCTAGAAGCTCTCCCCACATCATTCCAGCATTTCCTGGGCAGTCTTTCAAACTGGGCATGTGGCTGGAGCTTTGGGGACCCCAGGGAACTGACCGGAATTGCATGTTGCAGAAAATTAATTATCAGAAACTAAAGCCTGCTCTCAATGATTTGATGCTGATATCACTCCACTGACTTTTCCAGACTTTTGGGGTGGGTTTTTTTTTACAAGAATGGAAGTGAAAGGAGGGCAACAAGCTTGGATATAATTTTCCATGCTAGCACAAATAAAAAATTGCAAAAGTAGCTCACTAACTACTGATAAGCCAGTATTATTTTGTGCCCTTAAATCTATAATTAATCCCAATTAGTGCACAGGACAGCAAGTACCTCTTGTTCCTCCAATTTTGGAAATAGGGAAGGGAGAGTCACCAGAGTTGTTGCTCTTAGTTCAGTCTCAGTAGGCACTGATATGAGTTTTTTGCTTTCTTCAGCCTTTCTTCATCTAAGTCCTCCTGAATGGTGTCATCCAGTTAGAAACACTGAGGTCATTCCAGACCAAGGAATTCAAGGGAAGTGCAGCATAGCTGACACATGAAAGTCATCCCTAATGACATCCAGCTCTGAAAGACTCTATGACTCTTAATGAGAGTTCTTTACATGTGTTAGGATTCTGAATTAATCAAGAGAAAGGTGTCAACATCTGTAAGTGAGTAACATGCAGAGTGGTGAAGAGTGAACCAGTCTCAATATATGGTAATTAATTG